GTAGACTTAAGATAAAAAACTATCATGCATAAAATATTTATAATGATAAAAAGGTTAATTTATTAGGAAAATGTAATAATCCTAAGCGAGTATGCACCTAATAATAGAGCTTCAAAATATGTGAAGCAAAACCTGACAAAACTAAAGGGAGAAAGAGACAAATTCACAGTAAGAGTTAGATATTTCAACATGCTTCCCTGAATAACTGATAAGACAACTGTATAGGAAATCAACAGCAATATAAAAGACCCTAACAACACTTATTAACCAATTTGATCTAATTAACTTCTATATACTGCTCTACTCAACAATATGTATTTGTAAAGTCTTCAAGTTCACTAATGTTTTATTTGCAGGATTTTAATCTGATGTTAAGTCCATCTGAATTTTTTTGTTTCAGATAATCTGTTTTGTATCTCTAAAGTTTCATCTTCTTCTTATTTCCATTTAACTCATTATGCATATAGTTTCCTTTAAGTCTTTATGCATGTTTTGAAAGCTACTTAAAACACCTTATATGCTAATTGTATCATCTTTGTATTTCTGGGTCTGTTTCTACTAATTGGCTGTTTTCCTCCTGGGTGTAGGTCACAGTTTGCTGTATTTTTGTCCTACTACTAATTTAGGAACAGATGCTAGACAATATGAACACGATGCTGTTGAGTTTGAATTCTGTTCAGAAGCTACTGCCACGCGTAAAGTGGGAGTAACTGTCTAGATAACCTCATTTGTTTCCTTTCACTAAGAGATTACAATCCTACACTGTCTGTTGTATCAAAATGTCTAAAAGTGATTTTCCACGTATTTTGTTCAGTTTTCTAATTTTTCACGGTGGCAAGGCAAATTTTGTATCAGTTACATCTTCATGGTCACTTACTTTATATGTTTAATTTTGTGTTTTCAAAAGAAAACTTTTGCCTTAGGGTATTTTTTTCCTATTTATTTACTGTTTACTTTATAAATTATAATGAATACCCAATATTTAATATAAAATTGTAAACTACATGGAAAAATATAGACAAAAAATTAAGATACCATTTCAACCTTCCCTATATTCCAATTCTCAAAATCTAATCACTGTTAACAGTTTTTTATCTATGATTTCAGCTCCTATGTCTCTCTGTATGCATAAACATTTCATACAAAATGTATTATATGTTTTCTGTGAGCTGTTTTTTTAAACTTAATTTGTCTCTGAATTTTTTGTCATTAGGCATAAAATTTTTCACTTTCATTTATTGTTTTAAAAATTGTACTTATTTATTTTAAGAGAGATGGAGAAAGCACAAGCAGGGGAGGGGGAGAGACAGAATCCCAAGCAGGCTCCACACTGTCAGTGCAGAGCCCCATGTGGGGCTTGAACCCACCACGAAGCTATGAGATCGTGACCTGAGCTGAAACCAAGAGTCCACCACTTAACAGACTGAGCCACCCAGGAAGCCCTAAAATTTTTCACTTTTAATCTGCTACGTGGGGCGCCTGGGTGGCTCAGTCGGTTGAGCGTCCGACTTCAGCTCAGGTCATGATCTCACGGTCCGTGAGTTCGAGCCCCGCGTCAGGCTCTGTGCTGACAGCTCAGAGCCTGGAGCCTGCATTGGATTCTGTGTCTCCCTCTCTCTCTGCCCCTCCCCCGTTCATGCTCTGTCTCTCTCTGTCTCAAAAATAAACATTAAAATAAATAAATAAATAAATAAATAAATAAATAAATAAATAAAACTGCTACTTAATATTCCATCATGTGTATATGCCTTAATTTATATAGCCAGATTAGTTACAAATATATACAAGTTACTTTCAGGGTTTGTTTTTTTTTTTTTTCCCCTGTTAGAAATAATGCTTTAGGGGCACCTGGGTGGCTCAGTCTGTTAAGTGTCCCACTCTTGATTTTGGCTCAGGTTAAGATGATCTCTACAAAGTCGTGAGATCAAGCCCTGCATCAGGCTCCACACTGGGCATGGAGCCTGCTTGAGATTGTCTCTCTCCTTCTCCCTCTGCCCCTCTCCCATTCATTCTCTCTCTCTCAAAAAAAAAAAAAAAACTTTTTAAAAAGAAGTAATGCTTTAATGAATGCTTTACAGATAACCCTGTACTTAAAACACTTTTGTGTACAAATTGTGTACACAAGGTATTTCTACAAGGTCAATAGATAAAGTAACATGTATTTTGATGCTCTTATAGATCAAATTGTTTTTATAGTTTCAAATTACAATTGCTCATTGCTATTACATAAAAAGGCCATTGATTTTTGTGTATTGTGTCCTACAACCTTGCTAAATTCACTTATTTCTGGATGTTTTTGTAGGTAACTTAGTTTTCTATGCACAGGATCATGTTGTCAGTGAACAAAGCCAATTTTGCTTCTTCCTTTGCAATTTTTACAACTTTAATTTATCTTGCAATACATAACATTGGTAAGAAAAGTGTGGAATGTTCAGTAAAGGCTTTGAGACAATTTCTATACTAAAAGTTAAGTCCCTATCTCACCTGATACATACACACAAACACAACTGCCGAGTGAAGAAACACGTAATAAAACTTTTAAAATATTGTCAGTAAACACAGAGAATTTTCTTATAACCACGGGTTGAGAAAGACCATTCCAATGAAGGCAAAATCCCCAGAGCCAAAATAATAGATTGACAACTTTGGCTACATAAAACTTAAAAAATTGAAAGATAGCCTGGTAGGCAGCACTGCGAACCTTAAACCTATGCCACTGTCTTTGAGACTGGGTGATGGGAGAGACTGTGGGGAGTTCCGAGGTCACTAAAAAGACTGGCCTCTGGAGTAATTATTATTATCACATAGGCTGGCAGAGTGGGGAAAAACTGATATTAGAAGCTGGATATAGAATGACCTGCATTACCGTATTAATGAGATTATTCACAACACCACTGTCTGTGATCACTTACAAGGTGGAAAATGTACTAATGAATTTTTGAAATGCACAAGGAGATGTGTAGGAAGCAAATTCAAAGTGCCTATTGGATTCTTTTAACTGCATGGAATTAGGGGTATCCCATAAATCTCAGGAACAGCGTTCGTCTAGATTTAACTATAAATACAAGTACAGTTATTCCTTATTGTTTCTATTACTTCTTTTGCTCCTCTTCCCCTATCTTGAGATCTTTGCTCTAATTTAATCTTCACTTGATTTCAGAGAGTACTTTCTTGAGTACGTTTCCTCCAATAGGCTATATGGATGACATAACCCTGAGTCTTTATAGATCTGAAAACGTCTTTCTTTCATAAAAAAAAAAAAAAAAAAAAAAAAAAAAAAAAAAAAAAAAAAAAAAGAATGAATAAGAGCTTTGATGGGTTTAGGTTTTTTAGATATTGCCTTGAATAATCAATAACTATTGTCCTTTTTTCCTCTTAGAAGTCCCTGTGTTGCTTATGAACCAATCAGTGCTTCTTTCTTCATTGGCAAATAACTTTTTCTTGTCTGTCTAGATTAGGAGCTTGTAAAATTGTTTCTGTATCCTTGAAATTTTGCCAGATAACATGTAAGAAGTGTGTCTTTAAAAAACAAAAATCCTGTCTCATACTCAGAGCCCTCTCCATTCAAAGCCATATTCTTTCTCCAGTTTAGGAAAGTTTTCTTCTACTACTTCTTTATTAGTCATTTATCTTCTTCCCACTCCCACTCCCAAATTCTGCAGTGACTATCATTCACATACTAAATCCCCTGGATATGTCCTCCATGTTGCTCTCCTAAAACATTTACCTCTCACTAGTGACTTTTCTATTTTTAAATTCATTTACTATATTTGTAACTAGAAACGTTTATTTTTTTAAAAATTCATTCCAGTAACTTTTTTTCCTCTAATTTTATTTCTGTAAAAGTTCTCATTATACCTGTATTAAAGTTTACACCTATGCAAACCATTAATTCTAACTCTACAGTAGCCACCTGTTTTGGTCTCTTGGTTTAATCTCCTCCCATCAAACCAACATTACTTTGAATAGCTTGTGAATTTTTTCTATATGAATCTCATTTTCCTTCCCTCATGCAAAGTGGGAATAGATACATAATTTGTTAAGGATGTTTAAGAAATAGACCCATACCTAGTTCCTTTTCTACAAAGCCCCCCCACACACATTTTTTTTTTTTTTCACAATGGGGCCTCACAGGAACTCCTCTGAGAATGCAGATTCTCTGGCCATAACGGAGACCCACTGAATCAGAATCTATATTCTAACATCATCCTCAAATGATTCTAATGTACACTACAGTTTACAAAGCGCTGATCTAACCAATAACACATGGGAAATGGCAATCATTGCTTAAGGAAACTGCCAGTTACCTTTTTTCACATATTGATATTTTATATGGCCTTTGTGCCCAAAGCTACAAACACTCTGTTGTTGTTGTTGTTGTTGTTTTAACTAGGTGAACATTGGAATTTTGATTCTTTCATGATCTTTAGAGATTTCTCTTTATACTGAAAATATTAATAGTAATAATAAATGAAATGGAAGGAATGCCAGCCTATTCTCATCACGGCCAGAATGGTTTAGATACTGTCACTTAGGGAAGACAAATGAGCTATGGAACAGTTGAGTTCAATGACATCTGTGAAACCATGGAGGCTCAAATCCCCAGGCAAACGGGAGACACAATGGAGATCACCCAGCTAGAGTACTTGGGTGACCCCAGTCAGGGTACTAAAACTTCAACAGGGAGGGCATGGGTTTCATCAAACTGTGGAGTGATGATGTCCCAGAAGAATACTTTATTCTGCAATTTTATCTACAATGGGAAGTTTCCCAAGCCATCTCAAGCTAATAACTATGTCCTCCCTTTACCCCATCTGTAATTCCTCTGTATGGTAACACTACTTTTAAACTTGTGGTTAAGTTTGCGGCCAACAAACGAAGCGGGGACAAGTGCTTGGTATTTACTGATTCAGGGACTTTGTTAATAGGAAACCCTTGCCGAGGAACGCCTGGCGAGGGCGAAGCCAGCCCTCTGAGCTGTACCCCAGTCGACGCCTTACCTGTTCCTGAAGTAGTACTGGTGTACCAGGAACGTCGACCGAGCTTGGAGCCGAGCTAACGTGGCCATCGCCTCCCGGCTTCTGCGCGAGCACCGCTGTTGCTATTGGTCTCCATGGCAACCGGGCTAAACCATAAAGCTAGTCCCGAGGGTACAACTTTTCGACCACTCCACTTCTATTTGCCACCCTGCTTCAGTTTGCAGAATACTAGAAAGACATTTAAGAAATTTTTCGTAGGAAAAGGTTCCAGGGATTTGCCTCTATCTTTTCTGTGAGTTAAAAAGGAGGAGATTACAGGCGACGAAGGCGGTGCGGGGAGGAGAGGTAATGGTTGCTCCGGGCATCCGGTTTCCGCCTCCCGTCTGCTTCCGGAAGCTCAGCTCAAAATGCTGAACTGCTTCTGGAAGTCGCTGGTGCTGTGGTAGTTGGAGTCTGTTCTCGGGCCTGAGCCTCGAGGCCAGGCTCCTGGGTGTCGTTAATGTTCGGGGCCGCCGGGCGCCAACCGATCGGAGCTCCAGCCGCCGGGAACAGCTGGTGAGGCTGGAGGCCCTGGGGATGGTAGCTCAGGAGAGGGTGTGATGGCCTGAGGCCGCCGGACCTGGAATGGAAGGGGGAGGGAGTTGGGGATGGATGATCTGAAGACACTTAGGCCTTGCTCTCACTCGTGCCTGGGCTGGAAGCGATTTGAGGAAGGAGTTGAGGTGTGTGCTAAAGATGTGTGCAGGAGTGCGGTAAATGCTTGCTGATTGCCCAACCCTCTACGATATTTGGGGAGTAAAGCTGTCTATACTCCAAGAGCAATTCATTTCGTCCCTGATTGTTGACAAGGCTAGGGACAGAAGAAGCTAACTTAATATAGATCTTATCCCCTCACGTTCCTTTGTAATTGTACTAGATTACAGCAGGTGTCTTGGGGGATCAAATCCCAGAAATCTAGAGTTCTGGAAGTTTAGTACTAGAAAACACCCCACTCACCCCTCTCTTTTCTGGAATGGGAGTGGCCTACCTGTTTCTGCCCCTTGAACGGTCCATTTTAGTTCAAATGAGATGTGTATGAGTGTTCCCTAAGAACATGTAAATGCCAGGATTTTAGGTTTGGGGTTTGACCAGGGCTGCGGTACCCCCATCACCAGTGACACTTTGAAATAATAATATATTGCCTTGATATTTCAAAGTGCTTTCACAAATTCATGCACTTTATGACAGCTCTGATAGGAGATTATCACGGGCACAGAATTCCTAAGTGAGTTGTCCAGAATTGCCATGGGCATTTTAGTCCTGGACCTAGAAGCTGGGTTTTGGGTTTCTAATTGAAAGCTCTGCAATGCCAGGCCTATTTTTCCCCAAGCATACGTCCGACATGCAGTGAAACAAGTTTCCCACTGACAATTTCAAGCATAAAGTATTGAAAAATGGGTGACCTGTGGCCGGAAAACGTCCATTCTTAGATTTTGCAATGAATGAGACCATGAGGCACGCTAGTAGTCTGTGATCTCAAAGAATTCCTCTGCGTCCCTTATCGCTGAGAAGTTAAAAGAATATCTTGCTTGAAATGTTTTGAATGAGATTAGATCGTTCTGTAGTTCATTTTATAATGGTTATACTTTTAAATTCTGACATTTTCCAGTGAGAAAGCTGGGAGTACTTTCTTAAATGAGCCATATTTTTTTTTAATGGTGTGTGTCATTAGCATAACATAAAACACTTGTTACATGTTTATTATTTTTAGTTCTGACAGTTGTATATACTGTGTAATCACCACACAAAACAAGATATAGGACATTTCCATTACCCCAGAATTCCCTCCCCAGGCATCTAATAGGTACCTGTCTTAATGTTTCACCATTCAATACCTTGTTAAGGGAACTAAACAAAATGTGCTTTATAGATTGGTCTGCCCTTGTTGCAGCGATACTGATTTGTAGGACAGAGGACTATTTAATAACAAAAGTATGACTCTTCCAACTCCTTCCTCTCCCTTTCACCTTCTCACCAACTCATAGTTAGGTACCTCCGTCTAATACAGAGAAACCCTCCTTCAGTTCTCTTAAAATGCTTATCTTCTTTTCAATTATCGGTGTAGAATTCATTTTTTTCCTATGGCCCAGAAGATAACATAGTGCTTAGCACTTAATCATTGTTTCTTAATGAAACTCGGAAAAATCATGCCTGATTGGCCAGAATGAACACTTTCCAGCAAACTGGAACCTTGATTTTCTAGTTTATCTGCACAACCATTCCCTTATTGGAAAGTTCTCAATGGAATTTTCCTTTTCATTCATTGATCAGACATTTACCATACTAGGCACGTAAGTTTGCTCTCAGTAAGGAAGCCCCAGTGCCGCTGGGGTTGCTACTACTGGTTGATTCCTTGGTGCGGAGTTTTATGTACATATATCTCATGTAAATCTTTTGAGGTGGGCGCTGTCGTTTTTTTTTGCATTTTAGAAATGGCAAAACAGGAGCAAATACAGCTTAAGTAACTTGCCCACGTACCATGTTTGCAGTGTGATGCTGGTATACCTAGAACAATTCTTCACCATCCTCGTATACGTCCTATTTGTCTGAATAAGATACAATATCACGGGAATATCTAAACAGGAAAGACTATGCCCGGATAGGTTAGCCAGCCTGGATTCCTGTTGTATATACCTCCCATCTTGACTTCAACTTTTTCTCCAATGTCGAGATTAGATTTTTCAAGTTTTAGGCCCCAAAGGGGTAAATAGTAGATGATTTATCTACCCCTTTAACAATTTGTTTGAAAAATAGAACTGAGATTATATTTTGTAATTTACTGCTACAGAAGACAAGTTGTATACAATTAAATAATAAAAATCCTCAGGAAATGAATATATCTTTTGTGCAAATTGTTCTTGTAAGTGGTTTATATTATATTTTTTATAAAATCGTTATACCTGAGAGTTTCTATCTCCTTTTCCTGACTCCTCATCCACACACAATTTTGAAATTAGGGGCCAAAAAGCATAAGTATTGTGGCACTTATGATGTTAACCTGCCTTTTAAAATTTGATTCAGGGGCGCCTGGGTGGCGCAGTCGGTTAAGCGTCCGACTTCAGCCAGGTCACGATCTCGCGGTCCGTGAGTTCGAGCCCCGCGTCGGGCTCTGGGCTGATGGCTCAGAGCCTGGAGCCTGTTTCCGACTCTGTGTCTCCCTCTCTCTCTGCCCCTCCCCCGTTCATGCTCTGTCTCTCTCTGTCCCAAAAATAAATAAAAAACGTTGAAAAAAAAAATTAAAATTTGATTCATTTAATGGATAAACCACATTTATAATTTAGATACACTTTTATTACTTTTTACCTTATTATGATTTATATTTAAAGTGAATTTCTGGTTTTTAAGATTTTAAAGGTTGAACTAACACGTTTTACAATTAAGTCCTTGATAATGAGAATATTGAATTACTGATATATTGAGCTATACTATTTGTTTCAATGTATGTGGTTTGGTTTTTTTTTTTT